TGGGTTGGATACTCATTTTATTAAAATAATATGTTCAGTTAGTGCAGGTTTTGTATTTTTAATAAAACTTCGCAGTTGTTACCCTTGCTTCATATTAAAATATAATTTACCTTCCAGCACATAATATTTAATCTCTCTGCCCATTCCCAGCCTTTCTAATACGGATTATTCATCACAAGTTTCAAGCTCATTAAAAAAGAAACAAACAAAATAAACCAAAAAAGAAATTAAAAAAAAAACCAAAAAAACCCAAACCAATTCAAACCCCGCAGCTCGGGTGCAAAATGGTGGATTATTTTGTAGCTGTTTATTCGGATTTGCAAATGGCTGCAGTGGCTGCTGCTGGCACCCGGAGACAGGACGATTGTGAAAATTCCCCCAAGGGCCTCGATTGCTGCATCTGCTGAGATGACGCAACTCAAGAGTGGAGCCTGCGGGTGAAGGATGGTGCAGAGGGAGGGGCCAGCGCTGCTCTGCCACGGGAGGAGTGAAACAGCCTTGAAAAGGATGAGGAGAACCTTAGAAATGTTCCTCACGTCTTCAAAAATACAGTGTTTTTCTCTTCGAGTGCTGAGCGTTGCGGATTCGCTCTGAGGAGTTCAGTGGGAAGAGGTGTGGAGGTGGTTTTGGAGGTTTTGCAGAGGTTCAGGTGTGGCCTCAGCTCAAACAGAAAATTCTGGAGGTGGAGATGATTCCCTGGAATTGCCTGGGAAGGTCTGGTGGTGAATATCCCAGAGAAAAGTGATCCCTGCCTTGCTGGGCTGGGGGTTTGTGCTGCCTGGGAACAAGCAGGGCAGAAACCAGCACATTCCTGCAGAAAGGTTCTTGTCCTGAGCTCAGATCAGGCCTGCCCTGGCACAGAAACACACCTGGCTCACTCAGCCTGAGTATTTTTCATCTCCAAGTGAGTCTTCACTCAAAATACTGCAGTGGCAGCTCCCTGGGCACTGTCCCTGGTGTGGAGCTTCCTTTGTCTTCCCACTTGCAGTGGGAGGAGTCCTTTGGCCTAGGTTTGGTTTTTTTAACACTGTTTAAATGCTGCAGGTCCCAGGGCTTTGTCCAAACCTTCTGCCTGTGTAACCATGTTTCCTTTGCAGTTCCAGGGTTCCCTTCAATTGCTGTAGTAACCTGGGTCCGGGGCCTCGGTGGTGCTCCTGATGTCCCTCACCCACCCCTGAAGATCCCAGGTGGGCGAGGGAATAGTCAGAGGGATCACAATCTTTCAGCTAATTTATTTTATTCGGTGAGTATGAGGGGCAAACGGCTCGTGGTGAGCTTGACAGCATTCCCTGCCTCAATCCCTCCTCTGGAAATGAACGGGAAAATCACTCTGCCCTTCTCCCTGCTGCAGGATAATCGGCTGAATGTCACAGAAGAACTAACACCTAACAACAGGACAAGAATTCTCAATGTCCAGTCAAGGCTTACAGATGCCAAACACATCAGTTGGAGAGCAGTGCTGAACAACAACAACCTCTACATCGAAATTCCCAGTGGTGCTCTGCCTGAGGGGAGCAAGGACAGGTGGGTCAGGGAGAACTTGCCTGTGGGGTAGCACGAGGCCTCTCAGGGGGGTAGGAGAACACTTTGCTCTTTGTATTTTTAAAGTTTAATTTTGGTTCTTGAGGCTCTCTTGTGAGCCTGGTTTTAGGGCTGCAGGCAGAACCAGCCCAAAGTCTGGGATTTCAGGCTGGTTTAGGCACTGAGATTTCCAGGCTGTTTGAGTCTGTCACTGCAGCTCCTTCAGCTTTTTCTGTGCCCCTGAGGAGTCCTGCCCTTGACTTCTGCCTGGGGTTCAGGGATCTGGTGAGGCTCCAGCCTGTGCCCCTTCCCTAGGAATTCCTGTGTGGATTGGCTCTCAGGGCCTTGTAACTCTCTCTGAAGGAGCACTTGCTGCCAGAGCTCCTGGAATTGTTCAGACAATCAGGGTGGGATTGTTGGGGTGCCTGTGCAGGGCAGGGCTTGGCCTGGATGGTCCCTGTGGGTCCCTCCCATCCCAGGACATGCCCTGTGCACTGAACCCCTGGTGTTTCTCTTGCAGTTTTGCAGTTCTTCTCGAGTTTGCTGAAGAACAGCTCCGAGTTGAGCACGTGTTCATCTGTTTCCACAAGAACAGAGATGACAGAGGTGGGTGTTCCCTGCGCCTCCAGAGACACAAAATGCCTTCTGGTGGAAATGTAAGGGTTTTTTTTTCAGTATCCCGTGGGTGAAACCTGTCTCCTGCTTTATTTTCTAGCTGCACTGCTCCGTACTTTCAGCTTTTTGGGCTTTGAGATTGTGAGACCAGGGCATCCCCTTGTCCCCAAGAGACCAGATGCTTGCTTCATGGCCTACACGTTTGAGAGAGACTCAGCAGAAGAAGACTAGATTGCAATGTTTGCCTCTTTAGAGCTTTCTTGTTGTCTATAAAGATGATTCTGTAGAAATTTTGTCAACATCTTATTCCAGTCTATCTTAACTCTTGTACGAAACCTTGTGTGACCCAGCTGCTTTGGCGGTGAGATGTTGAAAATTTCAGACTCCACATCTTTCTCTGGATTTTGTGCGCATGTCGTGGTTGTGCAAAAATAAATGCTCCCTCCAAATTTAGCAGTATATTTCTTGAAGTTTAATATTGTGTTTGTGATACTGAAGTATTTGCTTTAATTCTAAATAAAAATTTATATTTTACTTTTTATTGCTGGTTTTAAGCTGTTTAAAGACTTGCACTCTTGAAGAGGTGGCTCTGGAACTGCCCCAACCATTAAAGTTGCAGGTGTGGAAAGGCTTTGCTTGTTCTTTGCTTGACTGGAACTCATGGGTGTGCTCTGACAGGGCTTGGAATAATCCAGCAATCCTGGAAAAGTCTACTTTTAGTGAGTAATTAGCAGGTGTGCTAATTAGGAGCAGTGCTTGCCTGCTCTGCCAGTGTTTTGAAGGATATTCAGGGTGTGATTTGGTTGGGAAGTCTCAAGTGGAATGTGATCAGCTCGACCCATGGCTGCTTTAAATACCAAATATGCAACTTAAATACCTGGAATTTTAGTGGTCCCCTAACAGTGCAGCCTTTCCAGTGTGTGCAGGCGACTCCAGGAATTCTGGCTGTGAGCTGGGGTGGTGTGTGGCACTCCTGCAGCTCAGAGATGTCACCGAGGCTGGGCAGGCTTCTGGGGGGCAGATTGTGGTTGAAGGGTGAGGAGGGGGCTATGCTGGGGCTCCACAGACACCCCTTGGTGTTCAGCATGGTGAGCACAGGGGGAGAGGGGCTCCTTGTGATGCTGGAGTTAACAAACCTTGAACTGAAGTTACAAAAAATAAGTCTCTAAAGGGGTTGAGCTTTAAAATGTGGTATTTCCATATTTTTCAGTACTTGCAGGCTTGTTTGGAGCTGCTGAATCCTCTATAAAACCTTGGAGCAGGGAATCCCTGGGATGGGTTTATTTCACCAGGTTCTGTTGGGTGTGAGTAGAAGTCTCTGGGTGCTGTGAAATGTGTAAGGCCCTAAAGTTTCCCCCACAGCCCATCCCTGGGCTTAGCAGTGCTGGGATCCCATGGAATACACTGAAATATTCCCTGAAACTCCTCAGAGCTGCAGCACAGAGTAACCTGGGGGTGTGTGAGCAGTGCTGTGATGCAAAGTGGGGGCTCTTCCTGGGCACTTTATTTGGCTCTTCCCAGTTCTCTCGTGGCCCTACAATTGTGCTCGTCCTGGAGGGATTTTTGGAAGGCCAGTGCCAGGACTCTGGGAAACTGCACGAGACTGGGCTGGGAGAGGTTTGAGATGGAGCTCACGGAAAGGTTCTTGCCCCCGAGGGTGCTGGCACTGCCCAGGCTGCCCAGGGAATGGTCCCAGCCCCAAGGCTGCCAGAGCTGCAGGAGCGTTTGGACAGCGCTGCCAGGGGTGCTCAGGGTGGGCTTGTTGGGGTGGCTGGGCAGGGACAGGGGCTGATAATCCTTGAGGGTCCCTTCCAGCTCAGGATACTCCAGGATATCACAGTGGTGGCATGACCAAGGGAGGGTGTCCTTGTTTTGCTCAACAGGCTGGCACGGGGCTGAACTTCTCTGGTTATCTGGAAAAATCCCTGTTTTCCTCTGCAACGTGGTACCTGTGCCATGTTCTGCTCTCCACAGGGACGGGAGTGTGGAATGTGCCTGGTCCTGCCTCCATGGGACGTTTTGCTGACTTTGGATGCTCCTGGCAGAAGGGGAGGGGGTCACCCACGCTGCAAACCAGAACTGGGGGGCTGTGGAGCCTTGGAGCTGCCGGCCTGGGGCTGGGCAGGAGCCACGGCAGCGGGTTTGGCTTTGTGTCCCCGGGATGAGGGGCTGTGCCGTGGCCTTTACTGCCCTCTGGTAGCCACGGCAAATACTGCAGGAGACGCAGGGACAGCGGGGCTGGGCTCTCCCGGGACACCTGGAATGAGATCTGAGCTCCATTTCTGTGCCAGGCTTGATGGGGTCCAGCCTGGGCAGGGAGGCTGCACTGGGGGATTTGGGTGCTGCTCCAGGTGGGAGCAAACCAACCAGGGAGCTGGGACTGAGCTGCTCTCTGCAGGGTCCCAGCTTTGGTTTATTTTTGTTTTTTGGAGCTCGGGGACTCCGAGGAGGAATCCTCCCCACTCCAGCCATGCCCCAGGCTCTGGTGACTGCCTGGGGAGCCACTGCCACATCCCTGGGCACAGCAGCTGTGGGGAGGCTCTGTCCCACTGTGTGCACAGCCTTGCTGCTGTCAGGTGATGGAGTCACTGAATCATGAAATTGTTTAGGCTGGAAAAACCTCCTAAGACCATGGAGTCTGACTATTACCCCATCACCACTAACCCATGTCCCCAAGTGCCACATCCACACGTTGTTTGAACACTCCCAGGAATGGTGGCTCCAGCACTGCCCTGGGCAGCCTGTGCTGATGCCTGATCACTCCTTCAGTGAGGGAATTTTTCCTGATACCCAGTCTAGATGGCTGTGAGTGGATTAATAATTGCTGAGGAATAATTTAAATGACCTTCACTGTGCTGGTCCCTGGGCATCTGCATGGATTTGGGGAGTGGGTCCTGGTCCCACGTGCTGCCAAGTGTTTCACAGCAAGGAGCAGATGCCACAGCCCTGCCTTGGTGCCCATGAACTCACCTGAGCTGTTCACCAGAGCCCATGGAGGCTGTTCTGGGTAATCACCAGCAGGCAGGGCAGTTTGGCTTTGTGTTTCCCTCTGGATCCATCCCTGGAGTGTGTAATGCTGGCAGAGAAGCACATAAAGGACCAGTGTTTGAGAGGCTCGGCTTCAGGTTTTATTGAAGCTGTATTTTTTCCTTTAAAATGTCATTTTTATTAGTGACTGTGCCACAAATTGTCTCTGGGAAGCACAGGCTGAAGGAGCTGTTGTTTCTCCTCTGCTGAGACCAGTGAGCTGTGATGGGTGGCTTTGAGTGTTATTTAAAACAGCAAAAACCTGGTGGCTGCAAAAAGGCTCTGAGGGGGTTTTGTTCGAAGTCTGAACTCCATAATCTTTATTTGGGATTATCAGCCACTAAATTAGTGCTTGGAACTCCCATCCAGCTGCCTTTCCTCGGGTGTTCTGGTAAACCAGACTTAGAGTATCATGCAAAAATTGTTTGAGTGTATAAACCCACACCCTGTGGTTTTACACACTTCATTATCCATGGGCTATGGGGGGCGTGGGTTTAGGTATGCAGAGCTTTCCCAGTGAAGACCTGCTTGGATTTCTCAGGAACTGGTGGATTTCATAGAATCATGGAATGATTTGGGCTGAAAGGACCCTAAAAATAATTTAGTTTCAACCTCCCTGCCATGGGCAGGGACAGGTTTGGCCAGGCCCTCATGAGCTCTTGGATTTGAGGAGACCTTTGGGTGGGCTGACTTGGAGGTGGTTTAGGGGGCATAGAGAACCTGGGTGACCTGGTAAAGGGTGTGTTCAGTGATCCCCTGGAAATACTGGCAGCACAGCCACTCCTCCAGGCCGGGGCTGACCCTGGCCCCAACCGAATTCTCTGCAAACCTCAGGAGCAGCAGAGCCCTCTTGACCTGCAGCCACCTCTGGAGCAGCTCGAGGCTCTTCCTGCTCCTGGCAAAGAGTTCCTGGCGTGGCCCCCAGAGCAGCACCTGCAGGATGGCCCTGGCCTGCTCGATGGACACCCTCTGGACAGGATCCCTGTGCAGGAGCAGCGAGGCCAAGCGCTTCAGTCCCGCCGAGTAGATGGACAGTGAGGGGATGTCGGGAAGCCTTTTGCTTCTGAAGCCCAAAATGTTCTCCAGGGAGATGTCCACGTGCAAGATCTGATAGATCAGCCTGCCCAAGTTCAGCTCAGCTGCTGCTGGAGGGGAGGGCGCAGCGAGAGCCTGGCTCCAGTCCTGCTCCTGGCTGCTGGAACGAGGTCTCTGCTTCTCTTGCACCTTGAAGAAGCTGCTGATGAGCAGCCGTGGAAGGGACAGTCCCAGCAGCTCCTTCTGCCTCTGGGGGGGACACGGGCACTGCACCAGCAGCAGGTTCTCGGGGCACAGGTCCCCCTGGGCCACGTTCTGCCCCCGGAGGTGCTCCAGCCCCATGCAGAGCTGCAGGAGCAGGAGGCAGCCCAGGCGCTCGTAGTGCCCGGGGCTGGTCCTGTGCAGAGCGTGGGAGCCCTTCACAAAGTCTGCCAGGGTCTGCTGGGGAACCTCGGCACAGAGGAGCACCTGCAGGACAGGCTGGGGAGCAGGACAGGCTGGCTCCTCTCTGGAAGGGCCCTGGCTCTGTGTTCCAGGGATTCCTGGGAGCACCAGCTCCCGAGGGAGGCGGTCGGTGAAGTGGCCGAGCAGGCGCTGGATGCTGCAGTGTGTCCCCAGGAAGCTCTGCATCCCCAGGCTGGAGCAGCACGGCTTGGGGACCTGCAGGGACACAGAGGACAGGGCCAGCTGTGCAAGGACAGAGCCTTGTCCTGGGCTGGGTCATCCTGCCAGCTCAGGGCCACCAGCCCTGCAGTGACCCACACGTGTTGCTGGGGTCTCTCTGAACCCAGGAATGGAGCTGGAGCAGGGACATGAGTGTGGTGCAGCCCCCAGATAGGCTGGGCTCTCATCCTGCTCTCCTGGGCAGCCAGCTCTGCTCCAGCCTCTCCTCTGTATGTGCTGGCCCCTCTGGCTGAGTTACCAGGACATGTCCCCCAGAAGGGCTGCTTTTGACGTGTCCCTTGTCCCCAGGGGAAGTGTCACCCTCATCAGCCAGCCCCTGCCAGCAGCACTGTGTCATCCAGCAATGCAGAAGTGGCTGCACAAAGGGGAAGTGGCCCCAGCGTCGTGTTCCGTGGAAAAGCCAACGCTCCCGGATCTCCTGGCTCCCTCTGCACCACCCAGACCTCTCACCCCGATTCCCCCTTACCTTGGCTGCAAACTGCAGCTGGCTGTGCTCGAAGGTGAAGCCCACCCTGAAGTACCAGGCGTCCCCGCTCTGGCAGCAGGGCTGGGGGTCCAGGACCCCAAACGCTGACCAGCGCTTCCCCACCAGCTCTGCCTCCAGCAGCTGCTGCCTCTCCTCGGGCCCCACCAGCTCCTCCTGCATGAGAGCCGAGAGCCGGGCCAGGGAGGCCTCGTGGCACCCCAAAACCACCCCACAGACCCCGGCTGGGCTCTCCAGGAGCTGCCCCAGCTCCCCGTCTGCTGTCCCAAATGTCAGCTCCTTCAGGCTGGCCGAGGGGGCTTTCTGGGGGCTGCTTCGGGCCAGCGGCTCCCCCAGGCTTTGGGACTTGGTCAGGGGCTTCTTGGGTGCCCAGGAGGGTCTGTCCCGCGGGGGAGCCCCCTCCCCGGGCTGCAGCTGCCCTGCGGGGATGCTGTACAGGATGCTGCCAGCCCGTGGCTCGGGGTCGTCACGGCAGCGCTGGGATGGTCCCGGCTCCGGGAGGGACTCGGCTCGCTGGAGCTGCTTTTTGGGCAGTGGGGGAGGCAGGGGGTCCGGCTTGGATTGGGGGAGGGGTCTCCCAGCGCCTTCCCCTCGGCTGGCCTTGCGCGGAACCAGGTGGGCCCGCAGCTCTCCTGGGGAGGGAGGGACAGACGTGACAGGACAGACAGGACAGAGGAGAAGAGAGGATGGGATGGGATGGGATGGGATGGGATGGGATGGGATGGGATGGGGTGGAATGGAAGTACAGCACGTTGTTCTTTGCCCCTTGCATACTTCCAGCCCCAAAGCCACACCCAACACCAGCCAGAGGGGTGGCACGGGGGGAAGGACAGGGACAGCAGTGCCACTGCCCGAGGTGACAGCTCGGCAGGCAGGGGCACAGCGGGCTCAGGAGGTCACTCACCCACGTTGCTGTAGATGAGGGCTGAGCTGGGGGGCCGAGGGGGGCAGCCCCCCGGCGTGTCCGGCATGGGGGCGGCCAGGCCGGGGCCGGGCGGGTCCAGGCTGGCGCTGAGCAGCGCGGAGCGAGCCCTGCACGGAGCCGGGACCGGCGTCACCCCCGCGGCTCCGCTGCCTCCGGGGCCGGCTCGGGGGAGGAACGCGCACAAAAGGGGAAGCAGCGGTCTGGGGAGCCTTGGCGGGGCGGTTTTTGGGAGAAACACCGGGAGTTTGGTGGCACAGTGACTCCAGGTGCCGCGCTGGGAAATCCTGGGGGTGGGAGCTCCCCGGGGGCTCCACACGCGCTGGTTCCCACCTGCATGGGACACACCCGTGGGTGCCCGGGGCTGATGTGCCACCTGTGGTCCCTGCTGGGTGACCCCAGGGAGGACACAACGATGGCAGAGGTGTGGGACAAGAGCAGGAAAGGCCTTGGACACCCCCAGCCAAGCCTGGGGGGCAGGACAGGGGTCTGGGCACGGGGAGGGAGCCCGAAGGAGGAGGGCGCTGGGATGGAGCCGCTGCTTTCACTTCCCTGTCCTGGCCCGGGGCTCTGACCCTGCTGCCACCAGCGACACCGAAACCACGGTGGCTTTGTCTAAAGCTCCCCGTTCTGCTGGAACATTCAAAGCTCAGCTCTGGCCGAGCAACCCCAGATGGTGCCCCCAACTCCGCAATGCCCCCCGGGACCCCACAAAGCTCTGGGTCGGGGCAGCAGCCGTGCCGAGCAGCTCCTTCCCCTTTGCAGAGCCCCTCGGTACCTGTGAGGTGTCCCTGGCAGCGAGGGGGTCCCGCGGGGCTCCAGCTGCACATCCCGGAGCCGCAGCAGCTCCCGCTGCCCATCCCAGCCCCTCCTGGCGCTGCCCATGGCGCGCTCGGGGCGCACCTTGTGCAAGGCCGGGCAGGATGTGGTTTCAAAACCTGCTCCGTGCTCGGCTGAAGGAAGCCGGGGCTTGGCTCAGCCGGGGTTTGGCCCAGCCGGGGTTTGGCCTCGCTCCCCGGCAGCCCCCGGAGCCCCCTGGCATCCCTCCATCCCCGGCCGTGGTCACTGTGTCACGGTCAGTGCCACCCGTGGGTTCGTGTCCCTCCAGCTGCTCCTCCTTCCTGGATGGCTCCAGGGATGGCTTTAAGGGTGGCAGCTGCTCTGAGGAGGGGATTGCCCCCCCAAACCCCCCTCAAGTCACAGAATTAATTCCCCTTCCTCTGGGTGGGATGACAAGGAGGAATATTTTCATTTTCTTCCTTGGACCAAGGTTGTGGGTTCAGTTCCTGTCAGAGCTGGAGGTGGTGATCCCTGTGCTTCTCTTCCAACTCAGAATATTTTTTGATCTGTGATTTGTCTTTTTGCTGGGATTTCCTGTAGCCCATTGCATGAGAGTAGCCCAGCCCTTGGAAAAAACCTTTTTTTTTTTTCGTCTCCCACAGCTTTACAGATGCTCAAAGTGCACCAAGTGACCCAACTCAGCTGAAAAAAATCCTACCATTCGTGTCTGTCCCCTCTAGGATGAACTCACTTCTTAACACTCTAAACCCTAAATATTTCAATATTTCCTCCCTTCTATTCACTCTTTGAGTCACCAGTGGTGCCACTGCGGGTGCTGTGGGAAGGGAGCTGCAGGGATTTCTCCTGGGGGCAGCAAGGTTGGGATGAGCAGCCTTTGGGAAATGTGGGTTTCCATGAGGAAAACAGAAAATTTCACTGCTTGAGCCCAAGAACAGCAGGACCCCGGGTCCAGGCACCTCTGCAGGGTTTTGGGGGCCAGGGTGGGACTGGAGGGGTGCTGGGAGCCTGCAGCCACCCCCATGAGGAGCTCACAGCTCCCTCCCCGTGTATTTATTTCTGTTTTTCCCAGGCCAGCCGGAGGTTGTGGCTGTTGGCTGTGGCTGTTTCTGGGTGCTGCAGCCGTGTGTGAGAGCTGATAAAAAATCCTGTGGGGCTGAGTCATGCTTGGATCCAGCTCAGGGAGGAGGTGCAGGGCTCTGGGAGGGGACAATCTGCACCATCCACCCCACGTTGCACCAGCAACCCAGACTGGCTTGGGTTGGAAAGGTCCTCAAAGCCCATCCAGTGCCACCCCTGCCATGGCAGGGACACCTCCCACTGTCCCAGGCTGCTCCAAGCCCTGCCCAGCCTGGCCTTGGGCACTGCCAGGGATCCAGGGGCAGCCACAGCTGCTCTGGGCACCCTGTGCCAGGGCCTGCCCACCTCACACATGAAAAACTTGTTAGAAGCCTCACTGTTTTTCCCTAATGAATAAAATTACCTTTAAGAAGTACCAGAAAATGGTAGGAATAAAATTACAGAATTCCTGCCATCCCTGTGACCCTGCCAAGCTAGAGAGAAGTGGCCAGGGAAAGAGGGGCAGCCAGGAACTGCCTTTTAGCTGTAAAATTCCTCATTTGTCTTATTTCAACCAAGGAGAAAATGCCAAGTTCAAAAGCCACCCAAGCCCTTAACAAGGACAGTCATTTCCTGTTGCAATTCTCATTTAATGGAGCATCCCTGAATCCTTTGGTGGGTTCTGCTGCCTGTTCCAGGTGGATAAATCAGCTGCAGGACACGGCCCTGATGGCACTGACAGCCTTTGCAGACTCTGGTCCAGGAGCTGCTGAGCCCTTTTTTCCCTGGATTTGGGGGACTGATGCAGGGAAGCTTTTCTTAGCTCCAGCCTTTTTTCTTTGTAAGGAAATTGGTTTCTCTTCCCAGTGGGAGATAGGATCTTTAAACGCAGCTGCTGGAAAATGGCAGTTTTCTAATTTTCTTTATTTTTTTGCTGCTTTTTTTTTTCCCCCCATGACAATGTTCAGCAGCCCGAGGGTGCTGTGGGGATGCTCCGTGCTCAGCTCAGGGCTGATCCCTGGGGCACTGAACCCCCCTGGCTGCTCTCTCAGCATCTCCATCATCTCCATCCTGCAGCCACCCCCAAAAGGAGCAGGGGGTTCAGTCCTGGCTCCCACGGTGCCCCCACACCCTCGGGCACAGGCAGGAGCTGGAACCTCGACTCTTCACCTCCCCGTGCCACAAAACGCGCCTTGAAGCAGGAAATGAGAGAAAAACCCCAATTTCCTCCTTCCTCCCACGGCAGCTCTCGCCCAGCCCCTGGGGGCTGCAGCCTCGCGGTTCTTTGGCAACCAGGGCCACCCCCCCGCGGGTGGTGGGGAGGGAGCCGGGAGCCCCCCCGGCCCCCAGGGAGTGGTGGGCGATGGAATTCCGGCCTGGATGGCCCAGGGCTCGTTTCTCCAGCAGATGGAGGCATTGCTTTGCTCCCAGTGCCAGCCCAGTCCGTGCTGGGAGAGCCGGGAGCGGGGCTGGCAGGGGACAGGGCGGGCGAAAGGGACACGGGGGGGGGTTTGGGGAGGGGCAGCGACCCCTTTGAGGGGGACACAAGGACAGGTGGCCCCCTCAAACATAAAACTGGTGCCAACATAACACTGCCCCATGGCAGGTGCAGCTCACAGGATGTGGCCTCGCCAAAGGGTAAAAGGTTAAAATAATGATGTTTTTACCCTGAAAATCAGTGGATGGAATGGTTTAAAATATCTGTGTTCAGTGTGGATGTGCTCCTATTCGGAGTTTCCAAGAAAATTGTGTTAATATATAGAGATACCAAAAAAATCTGCTTTTTAAATTTCTTTTTTTTGGTAGTTCCTGCAGTTGGAATGGATGACCTGGTCCACAGGAACACTCAGTTTGAGTCTGATCTTTCCAGGCAGCACTTGGGACTTTACTCTGTAATCTCTTGGAACACTCCAAGGCACCATTTCCATAACTTTTTTCCCCAGCTTCTCTTTCTCTTTGGACAAGGGGACCCTGGGCTGTGCCCTGGGGCTGGGGGGATGGGGAGGGCACTGGGAGGGTCACTCTGTGGAGGACAAACTCCCTCCTTCTCCCCACTGGCTCCTGCCCCATGGCCCCACTGCAGTGCCCCCCCGTGCCTCAGTTTCCCCTGGCACGTGCCCAATTTTCCAGCCCCATCCAAGGAATTTGGTTCCCTGTGTGCACTCTGGGGTGGATGTGACTCCTTTTAAATGCCCCGCTCCCACCCCAAACCCCAATTTTACTGCCATCAGGACTTGAGGTGCTGCCTTTACACCCTCCACTTTTGGCACATCCTTCTAAATACTGCATTAATAACTAATAATTGATTAATAGCCGCAGCAGTTCATTAGCACATATGCATTAATAATTTATTAGTTATTAATATGGACTTTGGTACCCTCTGGGAGGTGGTTTCACATTGTTCAGGTGGGGTTTGTGGGACTGATGCTGGGGACAGACTCAGGGGCTGCAAATCCCAGCAGATTCCCCCGGGAAGGGGGAAAGGTTTGCTGGAATTCCAGGGCCTTCCAGCTTGCAGCAGGTCTGGAGAGCTTCAAGGTGTGAATTCTGGTGCTCCTGCCCTTTCCAGCTCCTGCTCAGGCTTTGCCCACTGATTTTGCCTTTTCTTATCAAGGCACATGGGGAAGAAAAGGGGGAGAAAAACCCAAATGAGCCACAAAAGTCCCTTTTTTCCTTTTTTTTTTGTTTTGCTCACAAATACATCTCACATGCTCGTAACATAGAAAACTGTGCCAGGTCTGCACTGCCCTTTGCTCCCACTGTGAGGGTCCGTGCCCGACCCCCTCCCCGCCCTCCCACTCCCCTCCCACCCCCTTCCCAAGGATAAAAAACCCCAGACATCAAACAGGACCCTGGCAGGACACGGCATGCATGGCTGGGGGTGAGGGGCACCGGGCATACGGGGCCACGGGGACAGCTGGACCCATGGCAGGGAGGGAGGGATGATGGATGGATGGATGGATGGATGGATGGATGGATGGATGGATGATGGATGGATGATGGATGGATGGATGGATGGATGGATGGATGGATGATGGATGGATGATGGATGGATGGTGGATGGATGGATGGATGGATGGGGGATGGT